CCCCCACCCTGCGCCTGCAGCCTCGCCAGCTCCTCCCCGAGCGCGTCGTGCGCCTCCTCCAGGTGCCGCTTGCGCAGCTCCAGGCTCTGCGCGTACTCGGTCAGCGAGCGGATCTTCGCCTCGTGCTGCACCGGCACCGGCACCGGCCTCAGCCCCCGCCCGGGGGGCGGCGGCGCCCCCGGCCCGCGGGCACCCGGCCCCCGGAGCCCCGACGGCCGCGGGGGCACCACCCTGGCAGCCCCCAACCCCAGGAGCACCCCCAGGTGCCCCCAGCACCCCCAGGGCCACCCCACGGGCACGCCCAGAGCCGCCAAGCCCCCACCACAGAGGAGTCAAACCCCCGGGGCCACCAAAGCCTTGGAGCCACTAAGCTCCGGGCCCCCTGAGCCCTGGGGTCACCAAATGCTGGGCCACCAAAGCCTTGGACCAGTAAATTGTGGTGCCACCCAACCCCAGGCTGAGAAATCCAGGGTCACCAAAGCCCGGGCCACCAAACCCTGTGGCAACCAAACCCTGGGGCCACCAAACCCTGTGGCAACCAAACCCTGGGACCACAAACCCTGTGGAAACCAAATCCTGGGGCCACCAAACCCTGTGGAAACCAAACCCCAGGCCACCAAACCCTAGGGAAACGAAACCCTGGGACCACCAAACCCTGTGGAAACCAAGCCCTGGGGCCACCAAACCCTGGGACCACCAAACCCTGTGGAAACCAAACCCCGGACCACCAAACCCTCTGGAAACCAAACCCTGGGGCCACCAAACCCTGTGGAAACCAAACCCTGGGGCCACCAAACCCTGTGGAAACCAAACCCTGGGGCCACCAAACCCTGGGTCACAGAACCTCACAGAACCCCCAGGCCAGCAAATTCTGGAACACCAAAGCTGGGTCACAGAACGCCCAGGCCACCAAATTTGGGGACACCAAAGCCTTCAGCTGCCAAACCTTGGAGCTGCCAAACCCTGGTGTCACAAATCCCAGGGACAAAACTCTGAGCCACTAAACCCTGTGGCACCAGACCCCAGGGTCCCCGTGGGGTGGCACTGCCCGGCCCTGGCACACCTGGGAGATGAGGAGCTGGCAGGAGGACAGCTCGCGCCCCGTCACCTCCAGCTTGCGGTGGCACTCGACCTGCAGGTTCTCCAGCTGCCGGCAGCGCTTCACCACCGACTTCACCTCGGACTTGATCTTGCTGATGTAGAGGCGGGCAACGGCGAACTCCTCCTCGATGGCACCGCTCACCTCCACGGGCTGGCAGGGCAGCGCAGGGCAGCGGGCACGGGAACGGCACAGCGTGGGTATGGCACAGTGTGGGTACGGCACGGCACGGCACGGGAACGGCACAGTGTGGGTATGGCACGGCACGGCATGGCACGGCACGGGAATGGCACAGCGTGGGTATGGCACAGTGTGGGTATGGCACGGCACGGCATGGCACGGCACGGGAACGGCACAGCGTGGGTACGGCATGGCACGGCATGGCATGGCATGGCACAGGAATGGCACAGCGTGGGTATGGCACAGGAACGGCACAGCGTGGGTATGGCACGGCACGGCATGGCACGGCACGGGAATGGCACAGCGTGGGTATGGCACGGCACGGCATGGCACGGCACGGGAATGGCACAGTGTGGGTATGGCACAGTGTGTGTATGGCATGGCACAGCATGGCACAGCACGGGAACGGCACAGCGTGGGTATGGCACGGCACGGCATGGCATGGCACGGGAATGGCACAGTGTGGGTATGGCACGGCACGGGAATGGCACAGCGTGGGTATGGCACGGCACGGCATGGCACGGCACGGGAACGGCACAGTGTGGGTATGGCACGGCACGGCATGGCATGGCACGGGAATGGCACAGTGTGGGTATGGCACGGCACGGCATGGCACGGCACGGGAACGGCACAGTGTGGGTATGGCACAGGAATGGCACAGCGTGGGTATGGCACAGTGTGGGTATGGCATGGCACAGGAATGGTACAGTGTGGGTATGGCACAGCACGGCATGGCACGGCACAGGAATGGCACAGCGTGGGTATGGCACGGAAATGGCAGTGTGAGTATGGCACAGCATGGCACAGCACGGCACAGCATGGCACAGTGTGGGCATGGCATGGCACGGTGTGGCACAGCACAGGAATGGCACAGTGTGGGTATGGCATGGCATGGCATGGCACAGGAATGGCACAGCATGGGTATAGCATGGAATGACGTGGCATGGCACAGGTGTGTGCCACATGCAGGTAGCATGGGTATGGCACAGCATGGCACAGCATGGCACAGGTGTGTACCACACACAAGTACAGCATGGCATGGCACAGCATGGCACAGGAGTGGCATGGCGTGGGTATGGCGCAGCATGGATATGGCACAGCATGGGTATGGCACAGCATGGCAGAGGTGTGTACCACACACAGGTACAGCATGGCATGGCATGGCACACGGGTGTGGCATGGCACGGCACCGAATGCTGCAGGCGTGTCCGGGCACAATGTGGCACAGGCATGTCCCACACACGGGTGTGGTACAGGGATGGCACACATGGGGCATGGCATGGTCACTTCACACACCTGGGAATGGCGTGGGCATGGCGTGGGCATGGCGTGGGCATGGCATGGACATGGTGTGGCCATGGCATGGGCATGGCATAGGAATGGTGTGGGAGTGGCATGGGCATGGCATGGGCATGGCATGGGGATGGTGTGGAGATGATGTTGGCATGGTGTGGGCATGGTGTGGAGATGGCATGGGCATGGTGTGGAGATGGCGTGGGCATGGTGTGGGCATGGCATGGGCATGGCATGGGAATGGTGTGGGCATGGCGTAGGTATGGCATGGACATGGCATGGGGATGGTGTGGAGATGATGTTGGCATGGTGTGGAGATGGCATGGAGATGGCGTGGGCATGACGTGGACATGGCGTGGAGATGTGTGGGCATGGTGTGGGCATGGCATGGGCATGGTGTGTGCATGGTGTGGAGATGACGTGGGCATGGTGTGGCACAGGCAGCACAGCCTGGCACGGGGTGGGCGTGACACTCACAGGGGTGTGGTGGCACGGGCATCACGGGGACACGGGATGGGCAGGGAATGGGCACGGACCGGGCATGGAAGGGACACGGGATGGGCACGGCACGGCTGGGTGTGACATGGCACGGCTCTGCCGTGGGCGCTGCGCGGCACGGGCACATCAGGCACAGAGCGGGCACAGCGTGGCACAGGCATGGCAAGGACATCCCACGCGTGGGGAGGGCACGGCGGGGGCACATCCCTCACGGCACAGACACAAACACAGGCACAGACCCCCCCGTGCCCCCCGTGCCCCCC